GAATTTCGGATACCCACCACCTTAATAATAATGCACTACAAAATGCAAATATTTCGGAGTAATGAGCAAAATGTCTTTTTTTGTCCTTTTGCTTTTGAAATCAGAGACGTTTTTACTGTGCTTTGTACTGTGGGCGTATCTTTCAATCGATTTAGTTCATTTTCGGAATCAAGCCGCGTGTAACAATTTCCATTTCAATTTTTGCGATCAAGAGAACAGCTACTCCCGACATATAAACAGACGGAGGGGAAGGAAGACTGACGGACGGACAACCATGCCTGTATGAATTCAAAATTTGATAGTGACTAATAAACTATATTCTTATACTTTATAGAATCTCTCCCGTTTCTTTTTTGTTATACGGTTGCAATATTCCTAAGCTTTCCACCAAATATGAAAACCATAGCTCCATTTTTACAACAGCAATCGCGTAGACGGACATACATATTTAGATTGTATTTATATACTTCACGGAGTCTCTGCAGTTTCTTTTCTGTGTTACCGTGGACTTGTCCCCCGATCGATTTGCCCCTTTTTTACAATACCTAAGTGTGGGCAACTGTGGGCTGCTAATATTTTCACCGAATATGAAGACAATAATTTAATTTTTCCTGCCGGGTGTGTTGTGTTTACAACAGCCATTACGCAGATGGGCGCACGGACATGATTAAATCGATTCACAATTTGATACTCGTCAGTAATAAATATACGTAGTGGGGTCTCTGAAGTGTCTCTCCCTACCGCATTGCGAATGTTATGAAAAAGCGAATACACCGCCATCGTTGGATGGTGGTGGGTGGTATAAAAAACGCAACAATGAATTTTTGCTCAAAATTCGGTTTAAATATTAACTAAGTTTAATTTAAATAATCACGATCCACGATCCATTTTGTTAGCAGTAAACTTAAAAAAAGCTCTTCACAACGCTTAAACAACTATTTTTTTAAAAAGCTTTTGTTAGTAGATAGCACATACTATAAACACATATATTATACGCTCGCGTATGATGGCTCTTGCTATCCCCCGATACGTTTAAGCTTACCTTTGATTGCGCAAAAGTTTGGCTAAGCCTTCAAACTCTTGATGTTGACTTTCCAATTGCGCTACTAATTCGGAGTGCCGTTGCTCTAAATTATATTGTTTTTGGTCCACTGAATATCTGTCCTGGCCCGACACGTTCGCGGAAGGTGGCGGCAGACGTTTCGCTTTGTTATGCTGCAGCGTTTGATAGGCCTCCGCTTTATTTAGCAAATCATCTCGATTGAAATATGACTTTTCCGGCGAATATAAAGCCAATGCAAAACAGTTTATGACCGCAACCACAACAACAAAATTGAAACAGAAATTCTGCCGACAAGTAAGAGGTAATAAAAGCAAATGATTGATGTTAGTGAATAATTGTAACGATGTTTTTGTGCGCTAAACTTAATTAATGTTGTCGAGGGGGAAAATCTTAAAAACAGAAAAAATTTCTCATTTTTTTTCTTTCCTTTTCTTTTGCTTTTTTCTTGATAAGCTGCGACTGATTCATTTTCTTTTGTTTTATTTGCTTACTACTACTGCTACTACTACTACTACTACTACTACTACTACTACTACAAGTACTATTATTGTAGAGCGTATGAACCTTTCACATATTTTTGAAACTTTATCGCTTCATGTCTGCAATTTTTTTGCCATAGTGGTTCGGTTATCTATATTCCACACGAGCGATTGCTTTTATTACATTTTTGGGCAACGTAAGATGGCTCGAAATTCATGAAGGATATCTAAACGAAATTAAAATCGAATGTTTCCTGCAGTTATCCCCTACTGACCACCTATCAGCAGCACTTGCTATCATAGAAGACCTTCAGGAACGACATGATTTGATTTCAAAGGAATTACTTTTCCACTTCGACACACTACCGGAGTCACGGTTGTCCTTCGTTTCGGTATTCTTTCTTATTCGCTTTCCTAAATCTATACCAAAGTTACAACTCATGCGTAAATATTTCAAACTTGATATATGTAAGCCTAACTTTCGCCCAACATTGTTGGCGCGTTTGGAGAACACTGAAAAAATCTAAAAAGAATCAAAACTTTTAAATATTAATATCCCGAGCTTATGCCGATAATGTTATTGATTAAGTAACATACGCTCCACATATTCACTTTTATCCGAAGTGGAGAGTAAGCGATAATTTTCGTTAAAGTGTTTACCGAAGCCTTATATAGGAGAACGCAATTCATAGTTAGCCAATAGGTAGGCGCAAGGGAAACAACTACCTAAGCGAGACAATAAAGCCAAGCTCATTCAACATGAATGACGACTTTACTTCCCTATTTATAAGCTTAGCCACTAAGGTCACAGCAAGAGTCAGTTCGATTAAGAGGAGTGAATTTTCTCATAGAGAAGAAATGTCCGTCCAACTGAAGTCTACCCGACAGCAGGCTCGTGTTAAATTTCTTAGCCCAACTATATTAACCACCGATTATACTTCACGATTAAATGTCGATTTGCTGTCGACCATGATATCGAGGTCACAAAAAGACCTTACACGCTTCAGGTTCAAACCGTTAATGCTGGAATCAATAAATGTTGGCAGTGTTCTACTACAGGACGTCGCCTATCATTCTCTAACATTCAATGACGCGCCATTAATCTCGCTGCACTTCTTTGAGGAGAACAGATCAGATTGCGGAGTCATCACAAGCCCTTCATAGCTTCAAAGCAGTGGAATCAGAAATGACGCAGAGACGGGACTAATATATAATCCCTAGATGGAAGATCACTTATGTGTAGGAAAAAGAGAATTAATCCAAGATAATTGCGGCACACTAGATCCAATAATAATATCTCGGTAGATGTGAGATTTATTATTGATCACTTCCAACTGAAAAGTTTTCTTGGGAAAAACGATTAGAAATAATTTTTCGACTAAAAGTTTATAATATATTTTGTCAAATTGCTTACTAAGGAATAAGTTATGGGTGTTTCAGTGAATCAGTGAATCGTGTATGCGAAAGAAAGTCGTTAACGTTTTGCTCCCCGCATGTAGAATTCTTCATAAAGTTTGAAATCGGTTTGCGCATATTGTTGGAGTACGAAGTCCTGCTAATAGAAGGAGATCTCTGACAAATGCTAATACATTTTTGGTAGAGTCTACGTCTATTTCAGTGCATCTATAAACCACGGTGAAGTTAGGCTAAGAGAGTTATGACATATTCATTACACTTACGAAAAAGACAAAACTGGAAAACAGAGTTCAGTTGATCGCAAAGCCTAGCCACCCTACTGTCAAAGCTAAGACTGTTCAAATTTTCATTCAGGATCGTTGAATAGGAAATGTGAAAGTTCCTTGCTTACTTTCATAAATAGCTTTAATAGCTGGTTCAACCGTAATAAGAATGTCTACGATTTTATTTAATTGCAAGAATTCCTCACCTTGACTTTAACATAATTGCCTATCTGGCCGTTTGCGTGACAAGCTAAAATGTAATAACGGCAAACAAATTTCATTTATAATTAACAATAAACTCGAGTTCCACGGCTAATGGATATCGGGAATTCTGTGGACGCACACGACTTATAGTTATATGTTAGTCTCACTGGTGTCATAACCGAAGTTGAATACAGAAAAATAAATTGTTTTGATCGAATAAAATATAAAAAGCACATTGGGCACAATGTTTAGTTATGCTGTGCTGCTTATATCATGTAAGATTTGTAAGGATTTCAACCAACACAACCAAAGACAATTGTCTGAGATGCACGAGCATCATGCCTTCTAGTTTTTGCAAGCGTCCTTAACAAAGTGTCGCTCACATACGATCGTTTCAATTTTAGTTTTAAATCGAACGTCTGCAATGTTGGGTAAATATATCTCACATACCTACAAATGATGGACTCTTAATCGCCGTGGTAAGCAGGGTGCCTGATCATTGCAAGGGTACATTCGTCACCGCATTTATCATGCAATCGCTTGTCCGGAAGCTCGTTCGGACAGAATATTCCGACAAAACTCAATTTTCCTACTTTTGATGGCGTATACGCACACATTTTTAGTTCTCATATAGGACGATTAGTCTAATGACTTTAATACGATACCGAAATAGATCTTACTTCCTGCGGACACCTTTAGGATGCAAATGGAATTGGTTTAGCAAGCAGTTCAATGGTCTTGTGTTCAATGTGGTTGCAAAGTCCAAGTCCGTAACGGGGTTGAAGATGAATTAAATTATTCCGTTATAAGAGTGACAGATCTAGACTTCATCTTTTGCTTTTCCTTTTTTCGCCTCTTGACTCAAACGAATCCGTGCACAAATCTTATAAATTTAAAATCTTTTTTTTTTTTTTTTTATGAAAATCTTTTCATTTAATTATTATAAAATAATTGCTCCTCGAGTATAATATGTTGGAAAGTTATGGGCGTGCATCTTACAACTTGACAATGTAATTATGAATATAAATAAATTTGGTAATAAAAAACAATTAATTGTAAGCGAAAATTTGAACTTGGAAACTCAGTTCGAAATGGATATGTTGAGTAAATTCGGTTTTAACCGCAAAGTTCCGGTAAAACCAAAGAAAACATATATATAACAAAAAAACAAAAAAAACAAAAAAAAAAAACAATAATTGACTAACCATTAAACTGATGTGCGCTTGCACCTCTTGTAGCATGCAAGCTTATACGTCATACGTCATAATTGTATTTTGTTATACAGAGGCCAGTAAGACAAACCGATTCATAAATTTATGTAAAGTTATTGCAATCAACAATAACAATAACAGCAACAATAATAGTAATAATAATTTTGAAAAAACAAGATGCAAAGAAGTTGATGAAAATGCCACAAACCAGTCGCTGCTAAAATTTACTATAATTACAAAATTTTCGGTTCTTATTATATATAAATCAATTGAATATATATATACATATATATATGTATATGTATATGTATATGTATAAGTATATGTATTCTAGTGACCACTGATATTAAACGGTAACATTTACCATATTCGCTGAATGAGAATCCATTTCAAATTCCACAAGCACTTCAAGGAAACGTGGATGTGTACGCGATTGAGTACAAGATCGATTGACAATTAATGGGGATTCGTTTTGTGTTTAATTTATTTTTCGATTTGTTGCATCTTCTTCTTTTTCTTTTTCGTTTGGCTTTCGTTCTTTTCTGTTTGGCTACATTGTATGTGTTTATGTGTGAGTGTGTACGTGTGTCTGAGAGAATTGAAAACTGATCTAACAACATTCACTTCTTTGATGATTTCGTTATTTCAAACTTTGTTTTTGTTTATTTACTATTATTATTATTATTATTATTATTATTTTTATATTAAGTTGTCGTTTATTTTTTAATTCAATTACAATAATTTTAATGTTAAACTCTCTCTCCTTGATTAAAATTCTTTTATTATTTTGTTGATAAAAGAACTCACCATTTCGTATAATTGGATATAAAAGAAAAAATAAAAATTTTTTTCCCAAAATTTTTCAAAATTTTTTTTTAATTTCATTAATTTTTGTACAATTTAATTTTCAATTTTTCATTTTAAAAGCGTTCAATTTTTGTAGCGTTTTCGTCCGCTTGGTTGATAAGCACATAGGCAGTTTGTTAATGTTACGAATGTTTAACGGCGAGGCTAGCAGAGCAGTAGGTTTATATTGCGATATTTGCGATTTTATATCGATCCACGTTTACCTTCAACGCTTCAAATGCAATCCACACACAGTCAACAATAAGCAAAAAACAAAAACAAACAATTCCATACCATACCATACCATATCATACCATACCATACTCTCCATTCGAGAGATGACGTCTGATGAATATGCACAAATGCAATATGGATGTCCATGCATCTTTAAACGGTCAGTTTTATTTTGTTTATTTTGTTTATTTTGTTTATTTTGTTCATTTATTTATTTATTTATTTATTTATTTACGTATTTTTCTTGTTTTTCGTGCATTTTAGAAAGGATTTTCAATTTACTTTTAACATATATATGTGTGTGTGTGTGTGTGCGTGCGTGTGCATTTAAATTTACATTTGTTATAATATTAAATTATAAGCTTCACATCGTCACAAGTGTTTCAATTTATTTTCGCATGTATATAGCGATTAGTAATCAGTTTATGCCTATAATGTAAGCAAAAAAATCTCTTGAATTTATTTTTCTATCTACGATCTACGATCGATAAGGTCACCACAAACGCTTGTGCATCTACAAATTGAAAAAAGAAATTGAATATTTATTTTTAATATCATATAAGAATGATGATAAAAGTGATAAATGCAACAAAGGTGTGACATGACTAACATGCGTTCGTTCGTCTAACGTTCGCTTAATAACAATTGGTCAGATTGGTCTGTTCCATGCATGAAAAGTGACATCATTAATCATAAAAGAGAGCCAGCCAATATTGGTATCTATGCGGCACGTAAACGACAATTAAGGACAATTAAGGTGCACAGCAACGGCTTTATTAGTACGTCACGAGCAAAAAAAAAAAAAATTATAATTAAATCAAAACTCCGCTGAATGCACAAAACTATTATAATTTGAGTAATCAACTAAGTACATGTTTTCATACCAATCGATGAACAGGTGCATATTAATTTAGTTATTGCACTTGTAACAATCGAGAATATGCCTTTAAACGTCCCATTGCCCTTAGGCAATTAGGTCTAGTTACATTTCGCAGGCGTATCAGAAATGCTGTGTTTTCTAAACTGATAGCGCTCTGACAGTGCTACAGTGTGGCAATGTTTCAGTTGCGTTTGCATTTGTGTTCACACAAAAAGTATTTTCTCTGATCGGTCATAAAACGCATTATTACGAGCGGTGAGGCTTGGATCTACGCATACGGCCCGGACCGCAAAGAACAACCGATCAATCGAACGAGTATCATGAAAAAGGTGAAGAAAGACCGAAAAAACAACACAAACTCGCGACAAACTCGTTTAAAAATCAAAATGATATGTTAACAGGTTTCTTTCTCTGGCTTTGAATCCGTCAGCAAGGCGGTTGGGGACTACTTCGAATGCTTGGAATAATAAATCGATAAAGAAAGAGAAAAAAAATTAAATTGGCTTTACTTTTTAGACACAATAATATGGAGTATATACGCACATACATATACCTACATAAATAGCACTTATACACTTCATTATACAAGCATATAAATGCAAGAAAAAACAATTGATTTCGTTTAAAAATAATTTTTGAAAATATTGAAAAAAAAAAAAATTTGTTTAATTATTTTATTTTGTTTTATTTCAAAGAATATTAAAAGATTTTTACAGAAGAGTGCAAAAATCGTACTTTTATTCTGAAATGTATTCTTACTTTCGTTTTCCTTTACTATATATTGTTAATACTCATTACCGAAAGATGAGGATTATAGTCATTTTGTCAAAATGAGGAAAGCATCAGGGGGCCAACAAAGCGTTTATATTCTTGATCAGCATCCCGGCCGCAAAAATTAATCTATCGACAACAAATATGGCAGAAACACTGAATGTTCGTGTAGGCAGGTTTGTGTGTGTGCAAATGGGTCCAATCGCTGGAAGTAAGCGCCCACAACACCACGAAAACATGTTTACAAAAATGGAAACAATTGATCACGCCTACTCAATGCTATAGTTTATCAAAATTTAATTGTTCTTTTATAATACAAATTTTTGGCCAGTTTCAAATTTGGAATGCAGCTAAACATGTCCGTCTGTTCAACTGTCCATCGGTCTGTGTGCGCAGCTGTGTAGTATTTGTGTAAAACATTCTCCCATTAACGAAGATGATGATATCGCCGACAAATTTTCGAAACGAATTTAGAAGTGGCCAAAAACTTTTGAAGGGACACGCCCATAATGCCCACACGTCATGTGACAAGAAATTTTATTCGGAAATTAGGAAAAATCGGCCGAGCCCACTCCATATTATGGAGCATGAAAATATGGTTCTTTTCTTGTTTTTGTCTTCTTTAGGGTAGCGTTGATGGGTATAAAAGATTCGGTCACGACCGAGTCTAATTTTTTTAGTTGTTTTTTTTTTTTGGGGAGTTTTTTACATTAAAAAGATACTAAAATTTATAGAAAAGTGCAAAAAAAAATTGCTTTTATTTTGTTTTTTATTTAGTTTTTTTATTGTTTTATTTATTTTTTTTGAATTTTTTAATCTAAAAATATTAAAAGATCCATGAAAAAATGCAGAAAATAAATATTTCGTCTTTAAATATAAAAACAAATTAAAAAAACAACAATTTAATTTAAGCAAGAAAAAGCACGATATAATAAAAAAATGTATTTTATTTTAAAAAGTTCTTTTATTTTCTTTTTTGTACACATTTTTCAACTCAAAAAATATTTGAATAAGTGAGAGAAGATACAAAAAATTTTTTTTTTTCCGTTAAGACTTACTTTTATTTTATGTTATTTTCGTCTTTAGAGATCACATAAATAACTCGTATAAAGACTTGGAGCATTTTGTATACCCATCATCGAAGGATGGGTGGTATAAAAGGAACCCTCCGAAATATATACACTCTTGATCAGTGTCAAATTTTGAATCGATTTAAGCATATCCGTCCATTCTTTTGTCCGTTTCTCAGTCTATGTAATATCTGTCTGTAGCAGACATTGTCTTACCCGCAAAAATATGTCAAATTTGGCAGGAAGATTGAAAGTTCTTACACGATGGAAGATATTGAAAATGGGTCTAATGCGAACAAGGGATAAGCTTACAATACCACGCAAACTGAGAGATTTGGGCAAACGCAATACTCTGCAAAGTATAAAAATAAAGATAACGCGTACAAATCCGCAGAAGGAAAAAAAAACTGAAAATTACCTACAATACCTACAAAGCCCACACGCTTGTGTAACAAGTGGTGCGAGCACTTTTGCTCCTCATCTTGCTTGTTACTCATAAAGTGTAACACATACACCTTTTAGAATATAGAAAATAGAAATAGTATAGAATATAAAAATGTAGTTTTTTTAACGGTGACGGGTATAAGAGACTCGGTCACAACCGAATATAATTCTCTTAGTTGTCTTATTATGCTTAACACAGACAATCTTACTTTTGTTTCTTTTGCGTTGATATTTCACCTTCGAAATTCAACGGTTCTCCAATATTCCGTATATTGTGCATAGAGGCTTGAAAGTATTTTCCGCTTTCGGTTATCGCTCAAGTTTTCAGTCATTTATCAAATAAGTTAATTACCTTGAGATTTTTACCTTAGTGACTTACTACCTCTTTATATAAAACCCAAATTTTGCTTGCTACTAATCTAATCTAAGATAATATAGTATACGTGAACAAACCAAATGCGTGGCAGATGCCTGCTTTGTTATTGTATTTTCCAAACGTGAATAGTTTTCGAGAAACATTTTTTATTTTCTCTTCCGTTTTGCACTTCAATGCCATGCGGATATAAAATATATTTATATAGAGTATAGCCGATCGTTTTATAAATTTGTGTGGAAAACTGTGTCATGTTGTCCTGCTTGGCTTTTACAATTTTCTATTTGCTCGCATTGTTTCAACTAATGAAAGCAACTCGTCTTTTTCGCAAGTAAGCGATCGAATAGGGAAAACCATTTAGGAGATCTCTGCCAATAACCATTCGCAACTTCGGCATGGTTTGAGTAAACCAAGCACCTGGCTTTAGTTTGGGGGCAACAAGCTGTTCGCAAAACTTTAAAAGTTACTTAATGAGCCAATTTGACACACACACACACACACACACACACACACATCCCTCTCACAATAGATATAGTACATATGGGTCTTTGGAGGGAGCCGGTTAGGAGAGGAAGAGAATTGTATTTGTATGTTTTTAAGATAATGATTTTAGTTTTGCCCAAATACATGGCAATAAAGTGGGATAGGGTAAATGGGTCAGATTGCCTCTCTCCCGACAGTTTAGTCTTAATTATTTTTAAAAATTTTTTTTGTTTTTCTTGCACAACCTTTTTACAAAAATGTTTAATACGTAGAGTGTCGAAAGCTTCTTTAAAATTATATTATAAATGATGTAAACATTTCTTTGTACAATTCAGTTTTATATATAACTGCTTGCAGTGAATCTGAATGTGCAGGCCATTCATCATCACCATCACCACCATCATCATCATCATTATCGTATACCTGCCACTCATAACATGAACTGAATCTCTCAAGTAGCACCTTTCAATTATGGTCTGCGTAAATTCATATTGAATTTTAATTTTTAGAGTAATCAGCGGCTTCAGCTCATCTCACTGTTAGCGACGATTTTTTGCATAAGAGATCAAGGAAAAAGTTCGTCACGTTTAAAGATATTAACTAAATTTTATTAAGTCGAAATGTGCGTCATCTCGTTTGCGCTATCATTGCAGAACTCCTCTCCCGAGAGATCTCCGAAATGAATCGAGTGATGTTCACAGACCTGTTTTTGAACTTGACTGTACTTAGCTATCAGTCAGCGACTTTTGTCGAAACAATTGCGAATACATCAAAAATTTCCCATCCGAGTCATGGCTACATATGGCTTTATCGTTATAAAAGTCGACACCTGGTCTGGGCCGATGTTGTTAAAATTTGTCAAGAATTCCTAAGCGGCAACTAGCGATTCATTTACCTTCTTGTAGAGATATTTCAAAATAAATGAATTTTTTACATTTTAATTACCTGTGGGCGTGTGTCATCTTTCACGCGTGCTATATATAGTATGGCTTCATAGGCCGGGATACCATCTATTAGGGCCACGTTGCTCGAAATACATTTATCGGATAACTTACAGCACATATGCCACAAACTTTTTCCTTGCTTCATGATTATTTTTATGACTACGCTCAGCACTTGTAGCGAATTTTCACTTAAATATATTTTCGTTTTTTGTTCCTTTTTTTGTTCGTAAAGGAAAACATCGTTAATCTGTGAAAGTGTAAGCGCTTTTGTGTTCGAGTTGTTTTTCTGTACACAAACATTATGTGCAACATTCAAATCGCCCGGTTATGCGCATTCATTTAACATTTTTACTATTGCTGGCGGTCAGTCTGTCTCTTACTTTGAATAATTATTCGTCGTTCTGCTCATTTCTAATTAGGTTATGTCATTTTGTTGAAAAATCACGGAAAGAGATAAAAAGAGGAAGTAAAGCTAACTTTTAATATATGTTGTATGTGACGTATAAAACAAGCAAATGAAATCATATTCGTTTTTTATTTATTTTCTTCTTTTGGAAATGGATGACAGATTTATTTATTATTTTTGATTTGATTTTTTGCTTAAAGTAATTTCTGCGAGTGATTCTGATGAGCTCGTTTTGATCGAACTTGATGAACACGAGCGCCTTCAATAACTTTACTTAGATATTACTTTTATCTAGTCTGGCATAATCTTAAGGTCTTCCTCTACTTATTATGGTGTAAGTAGTTTTCTGGTTCGGTATGTACTCGTTAAGATTTAAACTGAACGGAATTGTTTGTTGATTGTTATCTTTAGTTTCACGATTAATGCGATAAGTTTGTTTGTACGGTGTAATGGCAGCGGCATATGTGGCTAAGCCATATGGCATTTGGGGGGCGTGAGGAACATCAATTATCGGTGTAGGAACAGGCGTAGGTGTAGGGATATTAGCTGGTATGCCGTTCAAAATGGATGGGGATCGTGCTGCGGCATATTCTATATTGCTGTTACCTTGGGTTAAAGCAGGCGGCGGCGCATAATTATTTTGAGATGTTAAAAATGGACTGATGGGCACTATTAAGGGTCGCGTAGGAATCAACTGCAAATATTGAATACCATTGTCTCCATTAACTGCATGAGGTAAATATTGCATTAATACTGGCGAAGAAGTGGCCACAGGAACGTTCAGTTGTTGAGGCTGATGATGATGAGGATGATGATGATGATGAGCATTCTGTAAGGGCGTAAAATTGTGCTCCATTTCCGGTAATTTAAATGACGGCTTAAAGGATGTATCAAACGGGCCATTCTGAGGATTCGCCGGTGACGCATTCGATATCATATCATAATTGGTTGCGTAGACATTTAGCGAATGCAACTGTACGTCTTGATTCAAGGACTTAGACGGATTTTGCGTTTGCAATTGATTTTGATTATTGATTGCAACATTCGATTTACCAGAAATTTCTGGACTTGAGACGGGGCCACTTGCACTCGGTTTTAGCGAAAGGGAAATAAACGCAAAGATATGTAAGTAAAATTTACGGCAATTTTTTAAGAACCTGCGTTTAAAAAATAGAAAAATAATGTTAAATTGACATAATCGGACATGGCCGACTCAAAAATACTCTACACAGCTTTTCCAATACAATCCTTCAGTTTTCTTATTCACAAAATTTCAAAAATTTCATCTTCATTACATACAAACGATTACTTTTCCTGCACGTGGTCCATATAGCTGATACAACGTATGTCAAATAATCCTTGCTGACCAATTATCAAAATAAAATATTAAAAAGTGGGCTTTGTTGCTATATAACCTTTAAGGTTTTTCTAAGAACATTTACATAAGCAGAATTGCTTCAAAATATGCTCGTCATTCCATCCAAATTTTCCACTTTCTATATGCCATACGCCAAGGTATTGCCTTTTCGTTGACATCTTTCTAAACAACAACAAGTATGGAAAATGGGAAATTTACGTCAAATAACGACTTTTTTTTTTTTAAATAGAACGTTTTGTATGGGAATAGGTCTTTAAAATTCTCCGATCGCAGCGTATTTCATCGTTGGACTGGGATCTGTCGGCCTAGTGAATTTCATCAAAATGAACTCGAAAATTGTGGCATGTACATGTGAACACAAAAAGGCTTGGACAGACGGACAGACTCGTTTAAATCGAATTAGAAACTAGTAAGCTAAGCAAGCCGCTACCCAAAAATGGTGTAGCATGCAATGCAATAAGAAACTGAGCATAATAATAAATTACACTTTTTATTATGCAGCGCCTTAATATAGGCTTTAAAAAAATGTTGAAGAAAAAACTTTTTTTTTGTGAATGAAAAGAAGAAGATTTGCGTCGAAAACTGTTATTTTATAAATGTTTTATTTTATTTTTCGTTTTTCATATTCTTTTACATAAATTTGCATATCTGGATATATTATTTTTTTCATCCAATCTATGCTTTTGATCCTTACATATTTTGTTTGATGTCACACAAATTACTTTTATTTCAAATAAAACACACGATTAGCTTTACCCGGCTGCTCCTCCACCCATGAAATAATTTTTTTATTAACTCAGCGTTTCGATTGACAAGCAGCTTTTATAACGATGTTGCCCGCCGTATTCACAACAATTTTCTGCCACCAAATATTCGCAAAATAATAATTTTTCTTCATGTAACTAATTTTCCATTCCGAGTAAAACTAATGATACAACTAACCACACAACCAAATAGTATCAAAAGTGTACGATTAATATTAATGGTTGAATCGGGAGAGGAAAGCAGTTTATTTTCAATTTTTTTTTCAAAAGCATATAAAACCAGTAAAACATAACGAATAACTCGAACGCAGATCAAGAAAAAACTTGTCTGTATCGCAAAAAAAAAAAAAAAAAACAAAATGAAAATATTTACCAATTAGAGGTCAATGTTACCCATTTAATCACTTACAGCATGCATTTACTTGAATAGAAATTTATTTTAATAACAATTTGACATCACTGAGGTAAAGGCATTTGTGTCTTAAACCGGTGTATACGTTTCCTTTAATTCAAGCAGCGGTTCAATGCTCGTCATATTTGCGCGTTGGATGAAACTTAGTAGAGTGTAATTGTTAAGCTATTTCCATGTCATTATTGTCAATTCATGTTCAACTTTATATGGAACAAAATGAAAATCCAGAAAACGTTAAGCTTACGTCTGTCGTCAATACTTGTTTATTTACTTATTTCCGTCTGCCTGACAGAAATTGCGCTTAAAACTTCAAAACTATGCGTTTCCATCTACACACACACACACACACACACACACACACACACACACACACACAAACATGCATGCATACATACATATGTGATTATTTATCAATAAACATTATATATAATAAATAAAATTACAAATTTGAAAAGTTTTCTGATTTCAGTAAAAGCTGATCGCCGCTATCGGGAAAAAAAAAAGTTGCGATGAAGTTGCTTTTTTATGCTGCTCGCTATTTGATCTATATTCGCACAAGCCAAAAAGTATACTATACAATAGTAATGGCAGGCTTTTTATATTCCGTTATCGAAAGCTTACATAAGTTTCCGCCCAAACAGACGTCAAATTAATTGCGTAATATATGTATATATGAAAAGATTTGACGAATAATTCTTTCTTTTGTTTTTCTTGTTAAAACTTCAATAATACATGAGTTTATTGGGAAAACAATATGAGAGATGACGGAATAACGCGAAGCATAAATACTTTTTAGTTCCTTGGAAGAGTGAAAAATCTCCTTCCTCTTACTTTGCTTTAAACAGCGTTTGAAGATGACTTCATAAGCTAATATTTACGAATTTAAAAGCTGTAATGAATGTCACCGTCAATGTCAATATAATACTAACCCATGTCAAAAATGGCATAAAATATATGCGTTTCGGCGGAGTCGATTTAACGGAGTGTCTGCCTGTCAAGCCTTTTTTCTTGTCCGAATTCAATAATTTTCTTAGCATTCAGAACGAAAGATGAACTATTTAAATGCAATAAAGACGAATTATTTAAATATTGTGTCAATATCATGAAATGTTTTTTTTTAGCAACATAGCGATATTATGCCGAAGGCACTTATATTAGTTTGGCAGCCATCTACCCACCGATCCATTTTCGCACTTGCTCAACTTTGCCGACCAGCCGTGCTGCGCCGATCTGAACAAGCGTTAATAAGCAGCCGTCATATCTGGTGAGTACGCTGATAGACCTTCTCATTCGAGCTGCCCGGACAACTCTTGCAATACGGGTCCAAAAAATGGCATTTTCATTTAATTCGTGTCGCCCGTTTTAAACCGTTGAGAGCAAACCTGACAATTGGAATATGATGGAACAGCACCATCCTTAGCCTCTGAACATGTTTGGTGGGCTTGGGCAGCAGATTTCTTCAAATAAGCAGCAAAAGCAATGAATTTGCAAGAAGAAGAATTTCAAGCGCGCCGTGATTAGCGCCGGCGTACGCTATATAAATCAATAATATGAAATGGAAAGCTATTATTTTCCGTAGAGGAAGATCCAAACCATTGAATTTAACCATTTTGTACACTGGTATTTTCCATATTGTTATCATTTTTACCTGTGTCAGAAGTCACTGATCAAAATTTTTGCAAACACCAAATAAATAAATAAGAAAAGACAAGAATATCTCATATACAACACTATTCTAGGTATAAAATTACACACCATTACATAATATTTATAATTAGGATTCTTAAGGCTCTCTGCCTCCTTCTGTTATGCTCACGAACACTTGAGAAATATAGATTTATTCTCTTCTTAACTAAGTTAATAAATGGTACTATTACCCACAATTCGACCAGATTACCTTGTGAGATAAACTTTAATGTCCGTAATCGCTTCTCTAGGCACTTCATCTTCATTAAGCTTAGTCAATGTAAATATAGTTATGAGCCATTGAACCCGTTCGAAGTGGCTTGCAGGCACTTAAACAATGTCTATCACTTAATCTTAATGTAGGACTCTTTAAAGTCTATCAGAGCAACTTTGCTTAATACACGCGATTTGTCTATGTCGTAATGATTCAAAAATTAACTGTTGTTGTTTACTGTTATTGATTGCCAAACTTTTGCATGTTTGCAATGGTTTAGGGATTCACTTGCAATTTGGATCCTTACCGGTTGTAGATATCAGAAGATTAACTAAATCCTTATCTGCTTAGTTAAACCAATAATATTATATTATCAGAATTCGCGGTTAAATCATACGGATAATAATTATGGTATGTAGTTGACAGGTTGACCTTTGGTTTCGAAATTATATCCTAAGGGTGTATTAATCAACCAATTAACTCTGTATGACAACTGTAAATGTCCATATATCCGTCTATCCTTCCATCCTTCCATCCGTCCATCAGTCCATCCGTCCATCCGTCCATCCGTCCATCCGTTCTTGTGGGATTTCCTCATAAATGTATTATTGTTGTATTTTAGAAAATATTTTTCTCATTCTGTTAAACCCTGTCATTATAGCCTAACCGCTGGCTAAGGGTTGCTGCGCAAGTGTGCTTTTACTACCAGGGCTAAGTAAAGCATTTCTGAGTAATTCATTAATTTTAACCATTAGTACTATATATATTCTTATCGGACGATGTTCTCGCTCTTGACGTTTTTGGTACAATTATTGCTCATATGAATTGTTGCACTACATAAACCACCTGCCTCTTTCCGTTGTTGTTGCTGTCCGCATTTTGAATGTGGATATGTGGCCAGTGTAAGAACAATCGTAACATTTCACACGTTTTTATTTTTGTCTGATCAGTTAGCTCCATCCTTGTGGCGATGAAGAATCATATTTCGTTCTGTCACATATTCGTTGCTTCATTTCGTTATATGCACCGCATGTGATAATATCGTGCAGGAGGTCATTGCAGGAATGGTCGTTATTTGAAATTTTCTTTTTCCAATCAGATTTGTTAACACTATTATGTTTATGTATGGACCGGGAAATTTCGTTTTCGAGCAGGGCGATGATATGTGATTTATTTGCGGCAATAGTATATGAAAGGGTCGTGATGAAAGATGGGTAAAGTTAAACTAACAGTGGCACGATAGGGATTGAAGTCGATTAGTTAGTTGCTTGCTGCGAAAGACATCGCGCTTCCATCACAATTATTTTCAGACCAAATATTCATCTTTAATAGTCTGGCAAAAATCGTTACAACTTGACAGAGAAGTTTCGGTGAATTATTTATACAACTCGAACCTTACGACGACCTATACGGCTGTCATTTCGCTTTTGCAGCAGTCCATCGAGAATTCAAGCCTGACTTGAAAAGAGGTCAATGAAGATTGCTCGATTTCATTTTGCGCTCAAAAGTCCAAGAGCTTCTCCAATGCTAATGCAAAGTAGTGAAAATACAGTTTATCAATCGCCGCACATCGGCAGCACATATTTTGTTAAATAAAGTTCCGTTAATACATCAGGAAAATATGTTTGAATTTTTGGTGAAAACACTGGACGTACTTTCGCTTTTACTTAATTACTTAATTTGCTAAAACATAATTTCAATTATATTATCATCAAATATCATTTCAATTATAGTACATACGTTTTCGATAATGACGATAATGACTTACCCTATATATATATATATATATAAATATAATTTCAATTGGGGTACATTCGTATATCGTATAATATATTTTCGATAATGACAATAATGATTTAGCCTGGCTGTAACTATCTATGACGGGAATATAATAAAATACAATGTAGCGGTTAAATCTTAGACGAATTTCTTAACTTCAACACAAAGCAATTTCAAAAAACTTTTGTTTCAAATTATAATTTCCTCTCTGTAGATTTGTTCTCTTTAGCTGCGTTCAGCGCTTTTACTCTCTAAATGTGTTTGATTAAATCACGGCGCAATGGGTAAACGTCATGCAAAGCAATTTAAGAGAATTTTAAACGTATGATGAGAAAAAGGAAAAGTATAATCGCGATAAAAAAAAAAATTACTTTTAATTTTCAATAAACGGCGGGATTTCAATCAAAACACAATTTCTCGCTAACGCTTGAATATTTTGACTCATATACAAGATGTAAGTTTCACAAATTGAAATACGATGTTTTTATACCCCACACCGCTTGTGGTGGTATAGAGTATATTAAGTTAGCGGTCTTATGTAACACCCAAAAGGGCTTAAGACAGAATTACCTCTTATCATACCAATCTATTCAGAATCATAATCTGAATTGACCTAAGCCTGTCTGTCCGTCTGTCGGATTGATGTCTGTTCATGTATGTTTGCGCTCAAGCTACGGGTTGCAATTTTTCAAATATTTTGATAGCTTATGAACGCTATTGAAAATGGCTCGGATCGGTCCACTTTTTCGATCACTCTCCATGTAACGCCAAATTTTGAAATATTCTTATGTGGAATAATATTGCAATTTTCAAAATTTCGCAGCAAAAGTGACTCAGTAGTATTACTTGGGCACCGGCTGGGGCAATTTTTGAATCAGCTCCCATGTGACGAAAATTGAAGTTCATACGACAAAAGGGTATTACTTCATAATGAAAATTATATCGCATTAGTAATTTAACATCAAATAGTCAACTGTACCAAATTTGGACTATGTCGGCCTATTTTTTGGATCCTAAATAAAGTTATCCACGAAAATTGATCCATTGTAGACCAGAAAAGTCGAAGTTTTAATATGTGGTGATGAAAATTGATCCATAATATTAATTTTATACCAGAATGAATTTTACAAAATTTGGACCATATATGTCTATTTTTGAATCCGTTGTGTGTTTGGGGCCGCTATTTTTGATGTGTACGCACATCAAAAATATGCCTTTATACCGAAAGAAGATTTAATTTTTGTAAACATGTTCGACAATGTGATGTAGGGTATTTAATATCGGCCTTACCTTACCATAATGTTCTGATTTGTTGAATGCGGATGAAATGCTTATGAACGCATGTTCATTTACACTCAATAGTTACGTATACATTTTTGAAATTACGAAATTGAAAAAATTTGGCACATTTTTGAGATATAACTACCATAGTTACAATTTCAGGCGTAGCAGTTTGAAAAGCAGTTATCGATATTTATATAAGCATATAAAAGTTCGAATCTTTTGTTCATTGTGAATGGATTTTTAAAGAGATAAGGCCCAATACCGCCAACCCTACCGTCTCCACATCGCAGCTTTAAATTAATTTTTTGCTATTAATTAAAGTGTAGCGTTTTTCGCCCATTTTGAACGCGGACCTGAGCTATGCGTATTTTCGGATGTAGTCTGTGATCGCTAACTAGGAACACACACTCATTCGTTAAGTTTGACAATTCAGTTTCAATTTGAATAACTGTCAGCATACAGAAGCAGGCAAACAGACAGATAGACAAATGGACAAGTAGCCAAAGGAAATCACGGAATTAGAGGAGCTTAAATACTGACCAACATTATAAATGCAATATAGTATGGATTCTGTGAATGAAACGAACGACCCATCTAACAAATTCATCTGGGCCGTGGGTGTAAAACTAACTATTAATTGTTAACCAAATTGTTAAAGAAGTCAAATCAATAACTAGTTTTATGGACGCATCCACTAATGCCTACGCACATCATTGCTTTCTAATTTTTGCCGATTTTCTTTTTCTTTTTTCAATTATAATAATAATTGATCTTCATTGCTTGCCCTTTAGTATTTTTCGATTTATTCATTTTTTTTTTTTTTTTTTTTTTTTTTTTTTTTTTTCAATAAAAAAACACTTTCAGTTTCTCTCGAAGAGACTATTTAATGCATATATAATGACGTTGTGGTTGTTCTTGTTGTTGTTGTTGTTGTTGTTATTGTAGTTGTTGCCTACTGAAAAAGAATTGTTGAATTCAAAATGTTATACATGTTCGGAGACTGCCAACAACTTGGTTCGAGAAAGTTTTACTATACACATTACGCATATGGTAAGATTAGTAGATTAGTGGATATCACTGCGACTGTGAGATGAATTTAAAGCAAAACTATTCTTGTCTTTTTTATTCAAAGAAAGACGAAAAACTTTGCATCGTTTATTAAAACTAAAAAAAAAATGAAAAATAAAAGAAGAAAAAAAAAATGAAAAATAAAATATATAATAATACAAATTAAATAACAAAATGAAATGCTACTTAAGAGATAATATTAAAATTATATATGCTTTTGATTAATATATGGCGGAGCGGGATGCATTCTAATGGAATTCCATTGATCGCTTAGTGATGTGAAGTATCGTAGTTAACGTTGGATGGCAAATACGCTTCGCTGGGAGCTGAAGGCCCGCCAATATAAGTGGATTGTGGGTCATGTTTTTCATTGGATTGATAATTGTGCTCCTCAGCAGCTTGTGATTGTCCGCCATACTCATACGGTTGATCACTTTTTGTCGCCGAAGACAAACGCTGATCGAACGGAGCTGTATCATAAGCATAGTCGTTATCTTCGTATTTCGTTCCTAAAAATGTGGACGGTGTGAACGACGTTTTGAAATCGGAGACTTCTGCTTTATTTCCTGATTCTATTATGCGGGTATTCAAAGCTTGATACTTGTGAGTTGACAATGCGCCAAAGTGACCTAAACCTTTATGGCCGATTGCATAAGATGGCTCATTTGGTAGCGTAGCTTGTGCATGATACCTTGGCGAATAAGAGTAACCGACTGACGCTAGAGGCGAACCGTAACTGTTGATTGATGACGCGTATGATGGAACTGGATGAGTATTGACATGATTAACGCCAGCGGCGAGATGGGTGACAGTTATTTTAGGATTGCTGGCATAATAGTTAGTATTGTAATCACTTTTGAGATAGCCGTTTAAGCCTTTTGTATAACTAGGACCGCTGGATAAGCCTCTAACGTCGTTAATATGACCAATGTTTAAATTCGAGCTAAATATTGTATGAGGCTTATGAGCACCAAATGTGTATCCAGAGTAACCATGAGACCCTAAATCTGGCCTATCATGGCCATTATTCGCCATATTGCTTGAGTAGCCGTAACTACCTGTATGAACGCCATTTAATTTATTATCGCTGGCGTATCCATTTCCCCGATAACCGTTCGATAAAGTAGAAGAATAGTCGAAATTATTGCCTGATATTGTAGATCCGTGACTGCTACCGTGATTGGGATAACTATCGTAAGCCGTTATTGCCGGACTAGGTGGCAGATATTTATAAGACGGTCCGTGATAGAAGCTCCCGCCATTATCTAAAATAGCTTCACGCTTCAGTTTAGTTTCTCTAATTTTGTCAGAGTCCAGTATAGAGTTTTTCATTATTTCCTGTAACTTGGCCTGACCTAACAAGGTTTTTAAGTATATCACGCACATAAAGTACAACTATCAAGAAAAATTAATTATCAATAATTATAGGCGATGAAAGTTCAAAATTGCGTTTCAAATTTCAAATGCGGAACTTACATAAACTTTCATTATATCCTGCTTCCTGTAGTCCTGTTTCCGAATTTTATATTACAATATCGATCCCGTTTCAAAATAATCTTCACGTTGGCAGTTACAAAGTCGATAGATTTATGTTACAACAGTAACCATATGACGTGAATTTATACTATTTTGAACATAAAATCAACTTTTAACGCCGTAGTCCGTACGATAATCGAATTTATCTCTCATATAATACACAAAAGCATGCTTATCAACCAAGCAACAATTTTATTTGTCTACCGTTCAACCAATTCGTAAGGGTGGCAGTGAAGAAATCAAATTAAAACTATGTTCTCTTCGTCGCTTGGACCGAACTTGCTTTTCATTACTTTCGCTCTTTTTCTCTTTTGCGGTAATATACGTATGTATTAATTTGCCTCAACTTATATATTCACTGACACTTTTTTTTTTTTTCTTTTTTTTTACACTATATGTATTATCGCCACTATCTCTACCTTTCATTACAATATATTAAATATATATTCCCTTGAAATCACATTGTTTTGTGCTTTCTTTTTTCATTTAGGCGGCAGCTCCCTGGGAGGCAAATGGTCAAGCAAAAAGAAAAAAAGGTGTGTGTGTGTACTAGTAGGTCATATCTCTGCGTTCAGCTAGAAAATAGGCGTGATCGGCTGAGTGCCATCTCAGGCGGAGTAGACGCAAGATCACTTGTATATGCGTACGCGAAGAGTAGAGAAAAAAAATTGTAATGCATAGCCGCCGAGTATGCCGAGCCTATGGGTTCTTGTTGGTGGTCTTCGCACAAAGACGCAATTACTTCCGCGCATTAAAAGGCAGTTCATATTGTATAATTTTAATTTGTCCGTTTGATGTGCGAGGGGTGTTTACGATTCGTCCTAAGGCGAATATATATTTCTCAATTGTTTTTTGATTATGTTACTTTAATAAATTTGGATTGATTTGCATATGTACATATATATATTCGTGCGTTTGTTCAACAAGATATTAAAAAAAAAATGTTGGAATTGCGGAGCTTGTGATCTCCCAAAACTGTATTCGTTTGTAGGCGCTTTACGTTTGCGTTCAACTGAGTTGAATGTTATTTTATGCTCCGGTAAACTGACCGTACACTTCAATTTTTATGTGGTTTAAATATTTACGTACGCGCATGTGTATTGCTTGTTTGATTTTATTTTCTTTTCTTTTCGGCATTTCGTCTCTTGTGTTAAAGCCAGAAATTTTTGTTTTTCAGGTTATTCAGGTGGGGGGGGGGGACAGATACTTGCAATTATAAGGATTGACTAATCGTACGAATAACATTTGTTTACCTTCACTGGATATTAAGTACTTGTGTCTCTATGTGTATGCATGTATGCATGTGTGTTTGTGTAAATCGGCGCTATAGCAAAGGCAAAAGTTTGTTAAGGCTTCTTAAAGAATAGCATCAAAATGAAAATAATGCCTAAAATTTGAGTTAAGATTGTTTTTTGTGTTTTTCGAGAAAGAAATTAACCTGTTTTTGTATAACACTGCGTATCCTTATGCCATAGATGAGAATCCTGCAAGCAGACATTATGTAACTGATTAAAGACTATCTACAAAGATGTTTGTCCAAAATTAATGGGACAATGTACACCGCAGGCCTCACAATAAAGTTCAATATCAGCCAAGTGTTAATTGCTAACAATTAGCAAGAAATTTATTGATTTTCTTTCACTTAATTCAGACGGTGAGCGTGTATGATGTCTTTTCCATGTCCGTTTTAATAAATATCATGTCTTAACTAATGCTTTATCTTTACTAAAGGATGATTAATTGTTTTTATATAAGCCGTAGGTATAATTTGGTGACATATATATTAAATTATTGTTATTGTTAGGAGGGTATGGATCATTTACGTTTCCATTCGGTGAATTGCTTTGCGTTTCATAAACTGGCTTAGAAAGTGGCATCGCGTAGGCAGAATTCGAAGTTCGGGTGTCGCTGGGAGTTTGACTGCCTTTGGCATGATCAGGCGGATGGCGGCGATCATCGTTCAGCGCAAAACCTATAAATTGTGATGGCATGAAAGGCGCTTCCATCCGTGTAGTGCGTCTTGGTGGAATCGGTATTATAGGTGGTGGTAGAGGAGGATGAGGATTTGGACCAGTTGGGGGAGGAGGGAAATGATTGAAAAATGGACCAAGACCGGGATACAGGGGCGGATATAAAGGCAACGGATTAAAACCGAAATGAGTTGGCGGTTGCAAAGGATATTGATTCGGTTGAAACATTGGATAGCCATATCCAAGCTCAGGCGGGAAACCTAAATTTAAAGGAGAACGCGCTTGCTGTTGATATTGCGGATGCAGTTGCTGCTGCTGATGCGGATCGTGTTGTTGTTGCTGATGATGATTCTGTTGTTGTTGTTGTTGTAATTGTTGCTGTTGTTGTTGTTGTTGTTGCTGCTGTTGTTGTTGTTGTTGCTGGTGGTGATGTTGGTGTTGGTGTTGCTGCTGCTGCTGCTGCTGCTGGGGAAAAATTTGAGGACCAGTATTTATTAAATTATGAGGATCCCTATGTGCTTTAAATTGATCATTTTGAAAGTTTCCTGCCGCAGCTATTGACTGTCTGGAGTTTGAATTCTGGTTTGGCAACGCTGGCATATAAAACAAGTGAAACATATTGCCTGCAGCATTATTATATTTTGTTGCATTCGTATCGATGTGGGGATTATATTGAAATTGCTGCTGCTGTGCCGCTGCAGGTGAAGGTAGCGGTGGAAGATGGGGCTGCCCATTAAAATTCTGATTTGGATTGTTCTGATATAAGCCAGTAAAATCCTGTTGCGAGCCCCTAAAATTGCTTAGGGACAATTCGCGTTTACCATGTCTAAAGGACGAGTTTATTGCACACAGATTGAAGGGCAATTGCAATAAGTACATCAGCCACAATAGACGAAAAAAACGCATCCTTTTTTATTTCAATAAATATTTCACTTTTCGCTTATATAAATATAGTATTTTCAGTTGTGCACAGTTAACTGTATTAAAATTAATTTACAACTGTTAGTTTTATTATAATTCGCTGGAACTTTTATACCAAAATTTAAATCTAATGTTGACAGCATTTAATATGTGTAATATTAGGAAACCTGAACAGGGCCTTGACTCTTATTGTGAAATACGATCCAGTGAAAATGTTATGTTATCGTCTTTGTAGAGGAAATACATTTCCCGTGAAGTCTTGTAACTGATAACTCCCGCCATGCAGACACAGACATACAAATGCCGAAGCGCAATGCAATAGTTTCACTTTCAAGAGCTTAAGGCATCAAAGAAGATATAAATTACATCACTTTATTACAAACAACAATTGTAATAAAAGAAAAGAAAAAAGATCAGCAAATAAAACAAACGCCCAGCAACGCATGATTTGCAAATAATTCAAAAAAGAGTGAAAGGTTTTAACTGATAATTAAAGAATTCGAAACTTATTATTATTATTGTTTGTTGTTATATCACCAGAAGGCTCCTTAAAGTTAATTTCAAATTGATTTTTGCCTAATGGTTAAATGAAAGTAACTTTCTTGAAAGCCAACCGACCGACCGACCCTAGGCTGAAACGGGTAGCAGTGTTAAATTGTTATTGACATGATTATAATCTCTTTCTGTAAACGATTTAAAGACGTGAACGTTGCTTTTTAACTGCATTAAACGTTCACTTTTTATGCTTGATTCACTTCTGCCGTTTGCTTGCCTGCTTGCCTGCTTGCCTGCTTGCCTGCTTGCCTGCTTCCCTACTCGCCGTCTGCCATGTAATAGGGGCCACTAGGTTTAACCATCTGTTCGTTATTATCATAATCATTTCTATTTTGCGGAAGTAATTGCCCTCGTCTGCGCGTAAACGAAAATCTTTTGCAAAACAAATTGTTGTTCATTTAGTAAAGGGCTCTACTGAGCAAAATGATATCATAGCGCAGACACTAAGCGTGCGCTTTTTTCGCATGAGTCAGAGTCTCTTTTGCTTTCTACTTCTATTGTCAACTTTAATATGTTCGAAATATTGGAAACTATGGTTAACTACCATATAGATTAAAAAAAAAAAATTTTTTTTAAATGGTTTATTTACACGAAGAACGCAAATCGCTTCATATGCATTGAGTTTTATGCAGGCGCAACATAAAGTTGCAATGTTGTTTGTTTTCATTTAATTAAAAATTGCGGATAGCTTGGTCTGCTGGCAACTCATCGGAAGATATTTGTAACCGAGTTTTATTATTATCGCTTAAAAACTAAAAGAATTTTAAAAGTTGTTTCGCAAACTAAGATTCCTTCACTCAGTCAATTGTGAAAATCGTCTACGCTTGAAATCATATTTTTATAAGATTTGCTAGCTCTGTGCAATTAATTGTATACATATATATTTGCTTAGTACGATTTAATTGATTTGCAAAAGCAATCATCAACGCATCAGTTAAGAAGTAAGAAATTTCAATTTTCAAAAGACTGACGCAGTCTTTTAAAACGACTCAATATCTTTGATACTTAAGACAGGAAAACGAGCAGGAGGTTGTGTTGACGCCAGTAAAATTATATAATTTCTTTAAATAATATATTTTGTCCTTCGACTCATTTGAAGACAGGTTAAAAAGGCGCCTATCTCATCTTACATTCCCATATCGGATCTTTAAAGATTAAATACATTTCAAATAATTTAAAAAAATTATTATTTTCGTAAAATTTTTTTTATTTTTTTTGTACACGCTTCAGCCAATTTGCATTGCTGACCGAAGCAGAATTATTTATGTACAATGTCTTATGATGAAGTTACGAGAAAAAATTAAATATTAAGAAAAAAAATCTCTTACCTTGTTCACTGGGTCATTTAGATAAAGATCCATGCCAGCCATGAACCTAAGATGACTCGAATACCAATATATGCATTTTTTCAAACAAAATGACATAATTTACTTGGTAACCGGGCCAACTTAGGTCTGATATAAGTTACATTTAATTTCCTATAAAAGATATGATGGTTGCTTTGTTAAAAGTAACACTGCAAAATAAAAATCTAAAAATAGATTTCAAACACCTCTCCCCGCCTTATCACCCTCTTCCTTAACTTTTTCCTAAACATCTAATCTCAAAAGTATATGCAGGCACCAGTAGATAACACAAGAACTCTTTCCTCTTATCAGTCATACGTTAGACATTTTACTGCGAGTCGAAATTCTCCTAATGAGTTACTGATAAAAAAAGAAGAATAATTAATATAAAATAGATCAGTTCCGAATTTAGTCTAGTTGTGGTATTATTATTGCAATGCTCTAAAGTAAAAAAACAAAACAAGTAAAAAAACAAAAAGTCAAACAAGTGCTCAGTAGATAATTGAATCAAATGAATTAGTATTCAATATGCATTTGATTCATTTGAAATATGTGTGTGCGGTTTAATGGCGAAAGACCAAAAGCAAATGATTTGACAAACGTAAATCTAACTCGAATAATTAATTTATGTTATATCTTAACAATAGTGTCCCCTATGATTGGTGACATATATAGGCTATATATATATATACATATATATATAATTGCGATTCCTATCAGAAAAAAAAAAAAATAATAATAATAGTAACAAAAATAAATAAATAGTAATAATAAAATAAAAAAAAATCGTAGTTTCTTGATAATCTTTCAAAATCTGGATATTTTGTGGTATTCATTTTAATTGTGGGACTTAATTGAAGGGATTTTTCATCATCATGCATTATCTTCATTTTACTTTTCAGTTTCCTGTCTTCTCGATCAATAATATTTTGATTTCTTTTTGACTAATTCGCCGTCCAGTTCAACTTTAATTTCCTTCATTTCTTCTTCTTTGTTTTGGTCAATTATTTTTTTAAATTTTTTTTAATTTTTTTACATTCCTTCTCATTCTCAGCAAATTGTTGTTTGGCGGCGTCGATTGCGACGGTTAATATCGACCTTAGTCGATTTTAAAGCTTCTTTTTATTTTAAAGAAGAAAATCGTATATACATGAATATATAAAAATCATACATCTTTTCTTCTCCATATATGAATTCGTGTTAGACATTTAATATCGCGACAAATTTTTGGAAGTTCCATGTATGCTGATTTTTCACGTCTTTAGGTGCAACTTCATCATGTGATAGAGCGTTAATTTAAAGGACTTTTATATGATTCTTTTCAATCAGTTTTGTTGGAGTCTCTTTATTGATTTCTAATAAGTGTTCAATGATTGCTAGAATCTTTTTTAATAAAATAAAAAAAATTATGGGAAAACCTTGTTGAAGACAGCTAACCCCTGTTGGGTCCTTATCTAACATTTTAGTTATGTACTCGTTTTTTATTAAAATACTCGGATTTTCAACATACAAAGGGCTGATGTGAACAATTCCACTTATCTTTTACTGTTCAGGGTCCTGCCAGTAATCAAGCATTTATTTTTGCCGCCAGCGAAAATTCACGGTCTACTGATATTTTTTGATATTTTTCATAACCTAATGGAGATTGGTTGGGATTTGTATTGTCAAATACTGCAGTTATTGTGGTTTTGGTCTTCTCTGCTTAACCATTGTGACATATTAAATGCTTCAACAAATCTCAAGTGCGGTAGAGTTTTTAATAAAGCCGAAAGCCTTAGATGCTAGTGCTTTAAGACTCTAGTCTTAGAATTTATTATCTGCCTAAAAATTTATAATAATAATAATAATAACAAATGCTTCAACGAATTGTTCGGTATTTACCAAAGATTTAAAGTGTTCAATACAAACATATGGACAAACTCAGTAAAAAGCATAAACTCCGAATCAAAATCATGGACTTCGATTTACCCGCCATAAGATTTGAGACGGTCAATTAAAATGGATGTAATTATATAATCAATAATTTAAATTGATTTCAAATATCAAAGCGTTAAAATTGTTAAAATGTTCCTTTTGTAAAAACTTCTATACTTCAATTTCATAACGATACAAATGTTGGTTTTTTTCGTTCAGCGATAACTTTCAGAAATCTACCATGGATGTATGACATTATCTTTAAGAAAGACGAATCTACTGTTTTCTTTCTTGTTTTTCTGGCCTTTTGTTATACAAATGCCATCCTATTCCAAACATGTGTAAACACGCCATCAAAAATTGTACGAATTATTATTTAACTTGTTCTTCGTCTTCAAAGGCCATCGAAAGAGCTAACAAGAACTGATTAACGTGATTTTGTTGCTGTAACGCTAGTACCGTGTGCGTTTTGTTATTGCAATAAATTTACTCGAGTCTACCATGTTTTACAACACTGCACATTTAAAATGTGGTGAGAGTTAAAACCCTAAAACTACACAAATTAATGAAATTGGGAAACACTAACCTAATATAAATTGAATATATTGATATCAGCTGCTGTAAGTGGACAAATGAATAGTGTAGAAATATAGATAGTAGCGTTGACGCACGAGTGAGATAGTAGAACTAAAACGTACATTATAGATTAAATTTTTTGAAAATTAAAATCTCGGGAAAAACATGCAAAATTATTTTGTTGAAATTATAATTTGTTAAAGGAACAAATTGTGCAATCGTTTCAAGAAGAATTTCAAAATTCTAGACCGAGAAGGAATTTTTTCAAAGAAATTTTCGAAAATCCTAAGAAAGAAATAAAAAGAAAATTAAGAATATTTTTTTTTTATTGCTTTTACGAAGAAAGTAAGTTAAAGTTAAAATTTGATTGCAAAATTGAACAGTTAAGTTATAAAGTTCATTGCTACATAGCAATGATTTCTCAAAGACATCAATAAAAGTTATATTTAACAGAAATATAACACATTTATCTACAACATACACACCTATCTTAAACCTTCTTAAAACAGCAAACTAACAGATTTTCATTGGGAGAAGAGAGCGAAATGATGTAAGTACAATACAGCGGTGAAAACCAATAACAAAGTGTGTTGTAGATGTTGTATTTGTCCTAAGACGATCGTGAGATATCCGCATTGTCCATAACTTAATTGTTGTGGATTAATGCAATTGACAGGTCCAATCAAAATATATATGAAAAAGTTCCTATAATAAAGTTTTTGAACATTGTCAGTTTTTCGAATTTGAAATAAATTTTGTTTCTTACGTTATGGGTAGATAGACCGATACGCTGAGTTAATAAATGATATCGTTTTCCGGCATTCGGTGTAATGGTACCTAACTTTTATTAATTAATTAATTCGCGTAAAAACCACATACGGAGTGTGTAGTTGGAAATATTAATCAATTTTATGATAATTAATTTAATTACATATTGAGGTTACTAAAATTCTGGAAATTTTAATCAAAACGATATGTATATTTTTTAAATGAAGGTACTTGATTGCAAACTTCGATAATGGAAGGGGAAACAGAAGCATCAGATTCAAAGAAGAAAACAAAGCCAAAACCAAAGCCGAAACCGAAACCACCACCAGAGCCAATAGTGTACCTCGGAAAAACTGCTAAAACTAATGCTAAACTTTTAAAAGCAAAACAACGGGTTCCACCTCAAAAAAAGCCAGAAAAAAAAGAAGAGAAGAAAGAGGGCGAGGAAGAGCTTCCTCCAGAGAAAAAAGAAAAGGAAGAGAAAAAAATTCAGAAATCGCAGAAAAAAGTATCTAAAGCAAAGGCTAGAGCAAAAAAGAAGTCCGAGGACGCCGAATTAGCGCGACTAGTTAAAAGGCAAGAACTTAAGGCGAAATATAAGGAAATTATAAAAGTACGCGAAAAACGCAAGAAGAAAGAAGAGCCGGAGAAAAAACTTTGCACTATAACAAAAGGTAAAGCAAAATCTGCGGTCGAAGAAGATAAGAAAACTAGACCTGGCTCAGGCGAAAATCTTAAAGACACAATATATCACGACATGTCGATGGATATAGATCCCCAAGAGCATCGCCCTAAGACAGAACCCGAATTATTATTGGTACCAAAATACTACAAATTCGAAGAGATTAAAAGCAAAGTCGAAGCTAAAGAAGAGCCTTTGAAAGAAGTAAGTGAAACCTTCCTTCGATGCCGAATCTTAAAAAGAAACCTGAAAAAAAAAAATTAATTAATTAATAAACGCGTTATTGTGATTTTCATACAGCTTTTTAGCAAAACTTTCCAAATGTATAAAGCCCAGGAAGTGATGCTTGCTTTTAATGGCGGCAAGGACTGTACTGTCATATTGCATATGCTCGATCAGTTTTTTCAAAAGAATCACTGTCTCAAACATCTTAAAATACCTACATTATTTATAACGGATCCAGATGGCTTTCCAGAGGTTGAGGAATTTGTTAACGATTGTGCGAAGTTATACAATATTGAATTAATTAAAATGCCAGGTACTATTAAAGAAGCGCTAGATGGAATTTGCAAAGAGAAACCGTTAATTAGAGCCATATTTATGGGCAGTAGGCGAACTGATCCCCATTGTCAGGATTTAAAAGTAATGCAAGTAAGTTTGTTCATAAAAAAGAAAAAAGGGCAGATACTTGTCGTTAAGGTAACTTTTAATAACTTAATATAATTAAAGCCCACAGATCCCGGTTGGCCACCATTAATGCGTATTAACCCTATTCTTGACTGGACGTGCCGCGACGTGTGGCAGTATATGTACGTATATAACGTGCCCTATTGTATATTGTACCAAAGAGGCTTCACTTCGATTGGTAACAAGAAGAACAGCAAACCCAATCCTTATTTACGAATAATCGAATCTACTACGGGACGTGTTTTGGATTATCGCCCTGGACATGAGCTTTTAGACAACGATAATTTGGAACGTGCTGGTCGCGTTTAGTTTAAACGTCTTCCTTTTCCTTTACCTATCTTCTTCGAAGTTAAACTTCACCTTTTTAACCACTTCATAAAGACTTACGAAGACAAGCAATCATAGTAGTTAAGTTTCAATAACTACAAACTAGCTAACCAAATACTTTTTTATATAGCTTTACTTTAGAAAAAATTTTTAACTGTAAATTGCCAATAAAATTTTAAATTATCCTATAAGTATAGTATGCCATCTTTAACTTAATTGGGGCAATCGGTTGTTTGGTAGATTTTATGGTAACCCTGTTTTTATGTAATGTCGAATGACTTTATTGTATATATTAATTCTCTAAAAAACGCATTTACTCCCCAAACCGTTTATACATGTTTAGCAGTTAAACGAAAATTCGATTAGAACGAGGGGAAGATAATTAAGTGAACAAAAGGGAATGTCTCGTGCAGGACAAGATGTCCTGGGTGTATTGCGCGGTATAGAAATGGTTATAGAAGCCGTCCTGAAAGAGCGGAGCAAATCCTGCAAGCATATCTGGATTAATTCAAGTTTACGAGAAGTAATCGAGAAAAATTTGAAATCGGGATCTGAATATATGCAAACCGCAACTGGAAATCCAATGGGTGAGTTAAAAAAACTGCAAGAGTTAATAGGAGAAACGGGTGAAAGAACTTATGTAGTTACTGAAGGACTGAGGCAGTTGGTTGGAGCGAAAGTGAGTCAGGAATTGAGAATGCGTCAAATAGTAGATAATCCCAGGGAAATAAAGGTAGGCGGTAAAGTATTGAATGCATCAGACAATATTAGTCTGCATAGAAATGTCGACGCTGCCAACTTAGATATATCATCAATAACCTTGGAGGAACTAGAGGAAATATTATCCAAACGCCACAAGGATCGAGAAATAAGTTTGCGCACTACGGCTACTAAAAGTAAACAAATAGTTAATCTACAGAAACCGCTTGAGACATTAAATCAAGTAAGGAATTCAGAGGCAGTTGAGGCGGCAAGAACGAATAAGTCAGGTGATGAAACTCTAAGAGCTGACACCAAATATGTAAAGAACGTTTTGTCGTTTGTTGCTGGCGCTCAAGCAAACTTAAGCTCAACCAGTCAAATCGAATTGCCTACTTTAAGTAAAGTAGCCAAACAGAGGCGTGTTCCCGCCAGTCGTCTGGGTAGAATGGCTTCGTTCGGCGGCCTGTTCGCGGGCTTGGGCTTTGGCACTATAAATGAGTTAACAAAGGGTGCGCTTGGATTAGGTGGTTCGAAAAATATGAAAGAGGCTTTATTAAGCCCTGCCAATGCTGAACGCATAGTAGATACCCTGTGTAAAGTGAGAGGTGCTGCTCTAAAAATTGGTCAAATTTTAAGTCTACAGGATTCGAATGTCGTTTCTCCTCAGCTAGCAAAAGCATTTGAGCGTGTCCGCCAGGCCGCCGATTATATGCCTGATTGGCAGGTGGAACGTGTTATGTCCACCCAGTTGGGGGCGGAATGGCGTAATTTATTGCAAAAATTCGATGAAAAACCGTTTGCTGCTGCTTCCATAGGCCAAGTTCATCGAGCAATCCTTCAAAACGGTATGCAAGTAGCTATAAAAATTCAATATCCCGGCGTAGCTCAAAGCATAGAAAGCGATATCGATAATTTAGTTGGTATGCTAAAAGTGTGGGATGTCTTTCCTCATGGTTTCTTCATAGATAATGTGGTTAAGGTAGCTAAACGTGAACTGACTTGGGAGGTAGATTACACGCGTGAAGCTGAATATACAGAAAAATTCAAGGAAATGATTGCAGCCTACTCAGAATATTATGTGCCTATAGTAATTAAACAAATGACGACAGCTAATGTCTTGACCACAGAATTGGTGCCGGGTGTGCCTTTGGATAAATGTTTCGACTTAAGGTGGGCAAAAAGAGGGAGCCTTTTATAAATTGTATGTAAGTGTACGCAATTTAATCATTGCTTTTTCAACTTTAGATATGAATATCGTAAACATATTGGGGAGTCGATCTTAAAGCTTTGTCTACGCGAATTATTTGAGTTGCAATGTATGCAAACTGATCCAAATTGGTCAAATTTCTTGTATGACGTCAAGAGTAAACGACTAATGCTTATCGATTTTGGTTCCACTCGATTTTATCCGAAAAAATTTATTAAAAATTATAGAAATGTAAGCAGAAAAACTAGGAAGGCAATGAAATGAAATGGTACTGAGAAAGTTACTTTCAGGTTATCATAAGCGCTGTAAATAACGATCGCCAAGATGTTTTAAAGATATCCCGCGAGATGGGTTTTCTTACTGGCTACGAAAGTAAACAAATGGAAGAGGCCCATGTAGACGCTGTAATGATCTTGGGTGAAATGTTTCGTTGCGAGAGTGAATTCGATTTTGGTCGTCAGGTAACGGCTAAGCATGAAATAACACTACGACTCATTTTTGATATCACTGTTTTATTTTTCTCCCTTAGAATATTACTGAACGAATTGCACATTTAGTTCCCACAATGGTCGCTCATCGTTTATGTCCTCCTCCTGAAGAAATTTATTCCATCCATCGCAAATTGTCAGGAATATTTCTATTGTGCGCTCGCTTAAACATTAAATTAAATTGTCGTCCTCTTTACGATGAAATTGTTATAAGTAAATTTAAAGAATGAAAACAAGGTGATTATATATAAGAAGTAAGTGCCAGTGATATATAACGATTTCAACTGAGGAATTTTAATTGATAAGGTTGCAATAGCGGTAATAAAGTTTTTATTTTGTTATGTAAAAGATATTTTCTACCTAAATTTTTGTCTTATGTCTTAGCCATTGCCCCTTGGCAGTTTTGAATTCTCACACTTTAACCTCAGGATATTTGTGATGTTGAGCAGGGGAAGTTTCTCTAGTACTAGTAGAGAACTAGTATTACCAAATGAAAATATATTATAAGTTTTTCTTAAAACTGCCTATCTAACAATCTGTGGGAAAATAGTGGGCACTTTTAAGAATAAAAAATAATTCAAATAAGCACAAAGCCTTATTTGGCTTCAAAAAAAAAAAAAAAAAAAAAAAATGGACTCTCGCAACATCAAGTAAATTAGTAGATACAAAAGATTCAGAATCTGAAGTTGCTAGCAAATTATTGAAATTGTGGAGCGCATAATCCTTTTTGATTCTATCTATGGTCAAGCACTCAATTAAGACTTGAATAGAGTTACTGTAAAATTCACTAAGCCTTTCGTATGAATGAAAAATAAATCAAATTGCATATGTTTTCTATGTTCAGCGCTAATTACCTGACATTAATATTCTTCAGCATAAAGAGTGACAACTGAGTGAATTGCAATAAAAAACAAAAGAAAATTACTTCATGTATATGCAAAAACAAATCATCCTTGTATTATGAAAAAAGTCAAATGTTAGTTTAAAATATTTACATGGGTACGAATGTGGAACATTTTTATTTAGTTTCAATAAATATCTTTCATACCGTCCGTATGACAAATTGATTATTGTTTATGGATTCGTTTAGCTTAGTATATTACATGAATATATTCGCACGCTGATAAAAACTAAGAAAATCTAACATGATTTAAATGTATGGCTTGTGCTTCTGCGTATATGTGAATTCTATCATATAGACGAGAATTAAAAAAGGGATAAATGAGAAGTGATTTTCGCCATGAGGCAATACTTTTATATATATTTCAATATCTTAAACTGTTATATACCGTATTTTCCGGACTATAAGACGCATCGGACGATAAGACGCATTTCAAATTTAAAAGATGATTTTCAGAAAAATGTTTTTTAATGTTATTTTCGGATTAAAATATTTATTTATTGTTAACATGACTCGTACTACCAATTCATTCAGCTCATCTTCATTCTCGGCACCACCATTCGTGTCGTTAATGTCATCGTTCGTATTACTTTCATTTGAATTATTGTGGCCGTGTCTCATGTACCTCAAATTTAGGGACGATTTATTGAAAAAATATTTTAATGTTACCTTCGGAACATAAGATGCATCCAAAATTTGAGTCCATTTTCCTATGTAAAATGCTGCGTCTTATAGCCGGAAAAATACTTTATAATTTCTAGATATATGAGTAGTAAGTCGATCAAAAGCAAAGCTTTAATCGTTATCAACTATGTATTATAAATTGTCAAAACTCTTGATTGTTATACAAGAATTTCGTGATATCGGCTATCGTAATCGAATATGCGGAAAGTCATCTTAAATTGTCAAACGTTAATGGTAAGTTTATGACTTATTTTGAATCTGCCAAAAGTTGAAATAATTTGGTGGCATAAACTTGACTTGACATAAAATTTAAATCTTTTAAAAGTGGATCGTTCCGGAACATTTTTCAAAGGCAATGAATCATCTTTGCATTAAACATAATACACATACACTTATAACGGAAGCTTGAAATTATAAAGCATTTGAGGTATATCAGATAGTCGATTAGAAAGTTTATTAACGTTTATTGGCTCTTTAGATAGCTCTAGAAAATGTTTATACCACGCATTACCTTAACATATTTTATAGGCCACAAGTTATAGTATTTCGTTTATGGTTGTGTTGCTAGCAGCATCCGTTACGTGTTCTTGGCAAATCTCCTTACTGAATGCTATTGCAAGCGATAATTCTCCGCATTCATGAGGTGATTGTAAGTTGATTACGTTGTCTGAACTGTAGGCCTTTCAAAACACACGCGGGTGGTCCTGGCGAACGTTTTTTTAAAAATGTTGTAGACAAATATGTGATAAAATTCGTGGCGTTTTTCAAGGTTGTCTGAGTTCTTTCTACATAGTGGGTGTGTATGTGAACATATTATACACATTTCTACTCAATCAAAGAATGTGAGGGTAAAAATTTCAGTTTCCTAGCTGATAACTGCAATCTAAAAGAGACCCTGATCTAAATATTAGTCCAAATTTATTTTATAGTTATCTGTAAGCTTAAAGCCAGTGCAAAGATATGTCTGATCGTTTAGCTGATATTCCTACTTTTGAGAAAATACTTTGCGTTTCCTTTTTACACATTGAGTAATTGTGGTGTGGACGGTAAAGATTCGCTCTACGATATTACTTTCTCACTTCGTATACATCATTTTCTGCTCTTTATATAAAGACAAAAATACACAATTAAGGTAATTTGGTTGTTCTTCTTTTTTATAGCCATCACCGAGGGATGAGGGTTGCCTGCATTTTGTCAAAATGTTTGAAACGGTCATAAGGAAGCATTAGAAACCCCATAAATTGTATATATTCTTGATCGGCATGAAATTCTAAACAGCTCCGTCCGTCCGTCCGTCCGTGCCATGTCTGTTGCAAACATTCTCCTGACCGCAGAAATTAAGCGACCGACTTTAGGTTTAATAGAAACGTTAGAAGTCCTTACAGGCTCGTTAGGTATTGAGAATGGGTCAAATCGGTCGAAGGAAATGGCATGCCCATTGTGTCACGTAAACAGAGGATATTTCGGTTTATCAAAAGGAGTGGGAAGATAAATCTATTCATGCCATCCAATACTATAGTGTATCAAAATGTAGGTTTACAAAAAGTGCAGAAACAAGCTTCGAAGACTCCATAAAAAATACACATTCTTCGCCAGTTGCCAATTTGGAATGCGCCAGGACATAATCGTCTGTTCGACTGTCTATATATCTGCCTGCAGAACCGTGTTGTATTTGCGGTAGCGAAAATAAATATATCGCTTACAAATTTGTAAAAGAATTTAGAAGTTTCCCTAACTTTTCAAGGGGCACGCCTATAACGGCCACACGTCTATGCGACAAAAATTTTTATTTTGAAAATAGAGAAAATCAGCCGCGCCTACACCATAGAGTATGAAAATTTAGTTCTTTTAATTTTGTTGTCTTTTTTAGGCTAACGGGGATGGGTATAAAAGATTCGGTCACGACTGAATATCATTTTCTTATTTGGTTCCGTTTTTTTCTTCTTTTTTTGTATTCCTTCGTCCTTTCGTTAGCTACCTTTCAAAAACGTTTTGTAACGAAGAGACACAATAGAATGTTACCCGAAATAATTAGTATTCACATTGTTGTTACTTGTATATTCCCAAGTACCTAGGAGCACTTAACACATATATATAATTTAAATTATAAATGTAACGCTTTTTATACCCATTGCGGATGGATGGGTTGTATTCATTTTACCACAATGTTTGCAACATTTAGAAGGAGCCCCCAGGCAAGCCATAAAGTTGATTTATTCCTGATTAGGGGCAAAAATGTGGATCGATCCAGACTTGGGTGCCCCTCTGTGTGTTGTTAACAATCTCCTCGTCGCAAATATTAAAATATCCTGTTCAAATTTAACAGATATATTGAAAGTTCTTGTATGCAGGCTGGTATTGAAAATGGAAATAAAACTTGTTGGAAGATCATCTAAAACTTTTAAAATCCATTAACTAATAATAATAACTTTGAAAAAATGGCCCGGACCACGGCGGAATAATAACATCGTTACTCCTTTAATATACATTTTAATATGACGGCTATATAAGGAAGCAAATCACGTACGGTTGCCAAGTAATCCACCAACACATGTATCGAACTAGAAAAAGGATCGTTAGATATAAAATGTTAATTATGACATCGTCATAATGACATTATGAAAAACTAACATTTAATTTAGAAGCAATTTTCACCCACGATAATCATACGATAATAATATTAATAGCATTGAGTTAAATTCAGTTTTCTTTCGACTTCAAGGCGTAGGAGTAGAGACATAACCAATAATCAATTATTAAATAATTTACGCAGCTTTTTTTATTTATTTCATTATCATTCAAATTGCAGCTTCTTTCCACGTGAAATGCATGCGTGCATTCAATTGATTTGCGGCTACGCCCCAAAGGCTTAATTTTTCTAAAGTCGACTAAGTACAATGAGTATATAAAGTATAAATTACAGATATAGATTGACTGAATATACCTTGAAATGATTTAAAGCTTTTCTATTAATATAACGCTCTTGACGTAATCAAAATGACGCCGGTTTTATTTGTGGTTCGATTGTACCTTTGGGCTCCAGTTTTAAAAATCACTTTTCAAATGAGAATTGTCGATTTTCAATATACGACGTAGGACTCTACATTCATTGTGGGAAAATTTGTAAAATATATATGTTAATCAATATTTTCCCCGTCATTTTCTACAACATTCTACCATATTTTTGGAAACATGACTCTATCGTGCCGAAAGAACTTAGATTGGTTTCGCACTTCTTCAACTTTGCGAAGCTGCATGCTAGCCCATGCCACTCTGCATCGATCTAAACAGGCGATATTCTGAATGCGCCATGTCTGGCGAGTAGAACTTCCTATTCGATCTGCAAAAAACGGCCTAAATGGCATTTTCAGTCAATTCGTGTGGTAGCCATTTTAACCGCCATTGTTGATCTATTTTTCCCAACATTACATCGTTCAGTTTGTTGATGTGAAGTCGGTAGACATCTACAGTAACAGTTTCATTCGCTTTTAGCAACTCGTAATAGACTACACCTAGCTGATCCCACCATGTGCACAGAAACACATGATGACCATGAATATTCCGCTTCGATCTGGATGCGGATTGTACTTCTCCTGGACTAACCCATGATTCACTTTTCATCGTCAGTCAGCCAGCACGTTCCCGGATCTCTTCTTTTTTTTTACTTTGGCAAGCAGGCAAACTGCCATGTTCAAACTGCCGGTTCGAAATGACAATTTCAGTCAACTTCTTTTGAATTTCTCGCCTCGCATGTAAACATGTAGAAACAGTTGATTCGTC